TTCTGGAGTGAAAAAATATCGTTAACCGGGGGTCCACTGTATATCAACAGAAGAATATGCCGACAAGTGTGTAAATAAGACACAATAAGTGGTTTATGATATTTTTTCAATAAAATACATAAGCCACATTTTGTTTTACTTACATACATACTGGGTTATCCCATGATGTCTTAGTGTACCCCTTTTCCTGTGCAGATATTTTGCACCCTCTACCAAACCTATTGCTCTCCTAAGTTTTTCCAGTGTGCAGTATTTTCCGGCATAAATTACTTTATAGTTTTTGTGGTAGCACTGTATATTTGACTTGACTGCTGCATAATTCTTGGGGCTTAACTCATCGCAAAATTTTAAAATCTCCTTAATGTTATTATTATTCCTCAAGTAAATATTTTATCAGCTATTGCTCAATAATCGTTCATCCCTCTTTAATGAAGTTCAAAAATTTAATCTTTCACAATTTAGCTCAATCTCTTCCAGCCTTCAGTGGCAGTTCTAATATCAATACTTTAAACACTATTACAGTTTAATATGCAATTTTCATTAAAACAGCCTGAGAAGACCTGGTTGTAACAGGTAAGGTTATTCAGGTTATTCACTGATGGCGAGTAAGATCACAAGCACAATGAAAACAATAGCAGTGTAAACTCTGAAGAAGTCTTAACAAAAAAGAAGTTAAGGAGACAATGCTCTTCCAAAGTTAAAACAATCAAGATGTTAAGGATGACTTGTACTGTACTTGAACCTGAGAAAGTGACTGGTTTTGTAAATAAATATCGAGGCAATGACTGAGCTATAACATCATTTTTTATTATTAAAAATACAATGAAGAGGTTATAAAACAACCCAGGCCAAACTGCTTGGGTAGAAATTCTCTGGAAATCAGCCACAGGTCTTCTAAATTGCAAAGTTAATACAGTATATTACAGTAATATGAGTAATTAGAAAAGTTTTCCTACTCCTGCAGACTGGCCTGGGGCCAGGCTGGTATTTTCATCCCACCTGGAGTTCCCAATTGCCCCTACTTGTATATGCTGCACTGGTTCCCTATCAAGGCAAAAATTGAATTCAAACTCTGTTAACATTTAAAACTATTAAGTTTAAAGAAACCCAAGTACTTTGCTGATATATTTATGTCCTTTATATCAGGCTTGGGAATGTGTTTATGAACTGCTGCAGACCCTTTTAGAATAAGCACATGCTGTTGGGGAGAAATCACTTACAGAGTCTTTTCTTATGAAGCTCACAGACTGCCGTTACCGAACAAATTTGTTCCCATAAGGAATAATGTAAAATTAGATTAATCCGTTTTAGACCCCCAAAATACACTTACAAAAGCACTTACAATAATACACTTACATAATTGTTCAAGTTGGGAGCAGTACGAAACTCAGGGTACCACTGTACTACCATGCAAAACCAATAAGAGAAATTTTTTTCCATTATTAATAAATATATGTGCTAGATCAACCAGGCTGTGATGGATATGTGGCCCAGCAGGCTGCCAGCAACAGCCTAGTTGACCAGGCAAATACCAGACAAGCCTGGCCCAAGGCCAGACTTCAGGAGTAGAAAACCTCATCAAACTTATCAAAGGTATAAAAGTAAAGGTAAAAATATTCAAATTTCAGTGCTTATAGTTTGTAAATAATACAAAATACAGTGTGCTTAAGGACTGTTTAATCTACCAGAATCTTAATGGTATCATTGCATAATTGATTGGTTGACTAAGTTTAAAGGCTATCAATTGCACAAGGGTCATTCTTGCTGTGTATTATCTGTACACTACCAGTTTGTGTACATCTACTGAGATACATATTTCTGTGTATATACCCTGGCCTAATAAATTTTTCTGGCTTATGCTATAATTATTGCATCCTGAATATCTTCCTCTTATTGGTGCCCATACTGAATCTGTCTTACTGGTTACCGTGTTGCTATACACTGCCTTTAGAAATGTAATGAATCTGCCTAGATAAGACTTTCTTTGGAGTTTTAACCCCAGAGGGTTAGCCACCCAGGATAACCCAGGAAAGGCAGTGCATCATCGAGGGACTGTCTGTCTTATTTCCATTGGAGTCCTCCATCTGGTCCCCCAGGATGCAACCCACACCAGTTGACTAACACCCAGGTGCTTGCTTGCTTGCTAGATTAACTGAACAACAGGTGTAAGGAAACATGTCAAATGTTTCTGTCCTTGCCAGGAATCGAACCATGGACACTCAATGCATGAAGCAAGAGCAATCTTTTAGTTGAGACCATGTAAAGGGTACAACTTTGCTTTTACTAGGACACTTAACACCCAATATTCACTTGGTATAAAACAACTGAATGATTGGTAGTCTTACAATCTTACTAACACAGTCAACTGTCTCTTAGTAATAAGAGGATTTAATCAAGACATGCACCATGCAGTGAAAGAACAGTTTAAGTGACAAGACACAATGTCAGTCCCAAGCACTCAGAATATAGTTAATCAATTTAACACTGAATTACAGCTAATGAAAAGGACAAGATTCAACCCCATAACATGGCAGACTTAAAATTAGCAGTGTTGTTCATTTTATCTTGCTCACATCAAATTGTGACTACTGGCAAGCCCTGCTTTATAGAAGTTTTTCAATTATACCCATTTTTTATTTACAGTGGTGTCATGTGGGTTCGATAACGTGGATGGGGTAAAAACACTCACGTAGGCTGGTTAGTATGTATAATCATAAAGGAAAAAGAGGCTGCAACAGGCTTGCAGGCTGGAGGGACACAGGGTGGTAAGCGGTTAGCTGGAGGTGGCGAGACGGTTCACCTCTGACCTGCTGGCACCCCACAAACAATCTTCTAACGTCAGAAATACCCGCAATCCACACCCACACTGCTGCCACCAAATTGTCATGTGGGTTTGATAATGTGGATGGGGTAAAAACACTCACGTAGGCTGGTTAGCACGTATAATTATAACGGAAAGTACGGGAAGCACCAACAGCCACCCTGCCTCTCTCTGCTCTCTATCTCAGACTGACCCACCAGTGCCTAGGGTGAGCGACGTTCAAAAACATGCTATGGTCAGCAGCAACATGAATAACAGTCAGTGATTCACACAGACAGTTGGTAGTGAGTCATCTACTGGTAACTGGTACTACTGAGAGTGGAACCTTGGTTTACGTCTTCGTTCCAGAAAGTCTGATAAAATCCGAATTCGCCGAAAACTGAAGCAATATTTCCCATAAGAAATTATGTAAATCCAATTAATCCGTTCCAGACACCTAAAAGTATTAACAAAAAACACATTTTATAGAGAATAACTATAGTTTTGCACACAGAAAACAATGAAAAATAATATAAAGGACTAATGAAATGGATAAATGAACATTTAACATAACTTTTACCTTTACTGAAGACCCTTACTGACGTATGGAAGACGGCGAGGAGGGGAGAGGGAGGAGAGGTTACTGTTTGGAAGGGAAATCCCCTTCCATAAGGACTTCAGGTATCAAGTCCCTATCTGGGGTTACTTCCCTTTGTCTTTTACTGGCACTAGAACCAGCATGAGAGTCACTGGACCCCTGTCACACAAAAAATCTGTCCAGAGAAGTCTGTTTCTGGCATCTCTAAGAATTGCCTAAAATGAGACAAGGCATTGTCATTGAGCATGTTGCAGACACAGCTTGCAACAGCTTTGTTAGGGTGATATTTCTCCACAAAACTTTACAACTCACTCCACTTTGCACACATGTCCTTAATCACTGAAGAAGGCACATTCTCCCCTCTCTCTTCCTCCTCCTCCTCTGAAGCAATTTCCTTGGCTGGCACTCAGAACTTTCTTTGGCCCCATGGTGGCTTATTTAGCAGTCACACTCAATAAACAAGCACACAAAAAATGGATTATTACGAAATGTTTCATATAAATGCTCAGGGTAATGTTCACTCGATGAGAATCAAAACCACACTGACTCAGAACGCATGGGATGCTTTGTGTGGGAGCGGACAGGTGGACATGTTCAGTACGGTGGACGAAAACCGAAGTGATGAATGAAAACTGGGACAAAATTTTGACAAAAAAAAGTCATTGAAAACTGAATTCGACAAAAACCAGGGCAAACAAAAACTGAGGTTCCACCGTATTCAAACATCCTTCAATAAACATTCACCACTCACTATAGGCTAAGGACAAAAATATTTTAAGGTAAGTAATGTGTACTGTATATGCATTTTTTTTAGGTCTAGCTGTATTGCTCACTTAATATATGATAGAATAAATATTTTATCAGGCTTTTATATGCATTTGAAAGTGAAAAAAAGACTGTTTCACTTTACAGTTATTTTTCACTCTTCAGCAGTAGCCCTGCTTATATAGCCCCTGCTATATAAGCAGGGCTCTCCTATATATACTTTATCATAACATACAAAAAAAAAATATGATTAAGTAGGAAATTAATTTACATCTATAATGCAAACTATATGTTTAGCTAAACTAGGCATACTATACACAATCCAGCTTGGAAATAATTTCCACAAATATCACTGAATTCCAAAGCCATCTAATAAAGATAAAGATTACGAAATCTTATCTTATCTTATCTTATAATATTATACCAAAGCAGTTATGTGAGTGTCCAAATTTTCAAACCCACAATATTATTATTATTATTATAATCATAATGAAGTGCTAAACCCACAAGGGTCAAACCCACAATAAATATTTTCAAAACAATGACAAATGAAAATTACCAATAAATTGCAATATGTTATTCAACACAAATTGCTCAAGGACAATTATAGTGAATAAACTAGAAAATAAACAATACTTCCTTGTTTGATCAGACATATTAACTGGTTCTCATGAAAAGGATTTTCATCACTTATACCTGCTAAAATTTATATACAGTTTTTGTAATTTTTTTGTCCACCTAATGGCATTAGAAACATTTTTTAAAAAAAGTAGTGTATAGCTTTATACCATTTTCTAAATTCAGCTTTAACTACGAATGTAAATAGTGGTAGCTCACCTTGTTTGTGCAATCTTCAGTGTCTTTTGTTTGCTTTTGACTAGATTTTGTGTCAGTATCCAAGGCACTAGCTGGTGTTGGAACCACTGTGGTAGTATTCTCACCATCTCCAATCTGGCAAGACTCCCACAGCTCAGCCACAGCCTTCTTTATAATTATTTCCACAGTGCCATTTTCAAGTTTATAAGTCACTCCAGACTTAGCTATGTGATTTGGACGGCTAACAATTTTCAACCCATAATGGAGCAGAGTATGTCCTCCACCAATGCTGGATAACTCCACACTGACAGTTTGGTCATCAATTTGCTTTGCAGTAACACTGCTTGGCAGAACATTACCACAGTGAAGAATAACATACAAGCTTTCTAGTGACTGTTTGACAGAATAACCTGGGACAAGAGTTGCTCTGACTTGGGACTGTGTCTCAAAGACACTGTCATCCTCTTGAGCTGCATTAACTTCCTTTAACCTATCTTCTTGTGATGACACTGACACCTCAGAAGAATTATCCCCGTCACTGTTAGTTCGGTAATCGGGTTCACATTCAATGCCAGAGTCTGAAGAAGGGGAGTAGTCATACACAGAGACCTGATCTTTTTTCCTTGCTGGTATAACACTAAGAGTAAGAGTTAACTTTTGCGTTGATAAATCAAACTTAGCTGCACTTGAATCCTCATCAACTGGATAAGGGAGTGGCAGATCAAGCTTGTACTGAGGATCAGAATTTGTAGAAAGTAAAATCGACTGCGGCCACACGTTGGCATTAACCTGCGAGGCCCGTGCCACTCCAGGAAGTTCAACCTCAACCTCCAGAGCTTGAGGGCGCCAGGCTGGACCACACTGAGGTATCAACTGCACAGAAAAGTCCTGCAAGTCTACTTTGCTAACATGCTTTATCTTGTACTGTGGTTTCAATGGCCCAACTACCTGCATCACAGAATTTGTACTTTTTTCCAAAGCCATTTTATTTTTATTTTCAGTAGTTTTGAGACCCCCACTAGTCCTTTCATCGTGTTGGAAACTCATTTTTTCACTTTCCTCAAACAGTTTCATATCCACTACTCTCTTTATCACAGATCTTATTGGCTTCCCCACATACTTCACACTGCCAAGCTCCTGTGGCTGACCTATCTTCAACTGGAAAGTTTTGCTTAAGCTTTCCACTGCAGTCTGTATTAGCGTGTGCTTCATGAAAGGATTAGTTGAGGCGAGATGTAGAGCTTCTGGGTGAAACACTACATCATGGACCATAGCCTGACCACAGACCCCAGACACTCGTACTTTATTACTCAACCATTCCCGTCGAGGCTTGGGCAGAGCATGTGGTAATGACCAATTCTGACCCACCATCACCCCATCGTCGACATTGACAAAGCTGGGCCTCTGAACCACCTCACTAGCGCAGATATTCACAAAAACGGGGCCGCCGTCCTGGCCTCCCACTGCCAACACAAAACCGGGACTCGGGTGGATGAAAACAGCCTCCACCCCCCGCTCTTTTTCCATTTGTTTCAACTCTCTCTCAAACTGTTTCTGGTTTTCTGGCTCACAAACCTCCTTGGCATACTCGCTAAAGAGAGCACGGAACTGCTCATCTTGCAATGATCTCGCCAAGAGGGATAAATCCTCTTTAGAAAACACATCCCCGCAAGAGTACGTATCACGCGAAGCCATATTGAATAGAATGTTACGTCGCTTACAACGTCAACACTACCACAGTATCTGCTGTCATAAAAAACGTAATGTCAAACTATTGATTCATGTATGAGGTTTTGCCTCTTATTTTCTCTGTGTACCATTAACAGACAAATTATAATAGGGCTAGAATTCGCAGATGTATGGGAAAGATTACAAGCAGCAACTATAGCATAATTAATATTTAGAGAGGCAATGTGAGTTAGAAAACAGAGGCTTCAGTTCTCTGACCCGTGGGAAGATGACGTGTTGCTATGGACCTTTAAATCCCCCATACCCAGCCCTTCCCTTTAAATGTTCGGGTAAACATCAGCTCAGGCTTCTCCAGGACTTCTTAAAATGTTATATATATCATGGTAGCTGCACAAAGCGGTGTATCTAATGTTGCTCATTAAACGCACACACCGCTTAAAAATTACAGAAAATTAATTTTTCTACCTACAAGTAATAATCGATAGAATACACTGCAGATCCACATGCCTGGTGAACACCTAAGTCACTTTGTCTGGCTTTTTTGGGTTATCATAGGAAATTTTCACATATGTTACTAGGTATGATAATTGCTGTTATTTGTACCTATACCTAGATAAACTTACTAATATACTGTATTTCAGTCGCTGCGCCAGTGAAATATACTCAGAAGGAACACAGTTACATAAATTACCATAGATAGCAGCAATGTAGATTACCTATGATAACCCAAAGAAGTCAGTGGCTTATATCCATTGGGGTCCTTGACCCCAGGAAAATCTAAAAATATATATTCATATACAGTACGTATTTGTGCATGTATGTAGCATGCACGTATATACGCTTCTCCGTATGTATGCATTTGCGTATGCATGTATAAAGAATAAAAGTCAATACGGTGGCTGGAGCAATACACAAATAACTCACACTTAGGAGACCGAAACTTAGAACGATGTTTCGGTCCAACTTGACCATTAACTAGTCACACTAGTCGGATCGAAACGTCGTCCAAAGTTCCAGTCTCCTAATTTTGGGTTATTTATGTACCGTATGTGTTTATATATGTATGGATGTACACTTTTTTAATATATACGTGTGTATGTACGGTATGTGTGTGCATATATATGAGTGCGTATTAATGTATGAATTTATACACGTATTTTTGTGTATGTGTGAATGTGCGTATGTATATGTTCAGAATGTCTAAAATATACTGATTTTCTGGGAGTTTGGTCTCCTGTTTATATCAAGGATACCGGTAATTTTTTTGTTAATTTCAGTAAAAATTTGAAATTTTACCAATACGGAATAAATTTAAATTTATGGGAAATCATCCTTATAGAATACATCATCAGTAATATTTTAAAATTATCATTATTATAATCAAGGGGGAAGCGCTAAACCCGGAGGATTATACAGCGCCTGGGGGGGGGGATGTGGAAGGCATTCAGACTTAATTCGGGGAACTGGAGCACAGATCCAATTCCCTAAATCAAGAGCCCCTCACCAACATCAAGGAACCTTCCTTGAGGGGTAATATTTAAAAAAAAAAGCGGTCAGAAAAGTCATTCTCCAGTTATGGCATGAATAACAATGATTCCAAGTTTTTAACTATTTTACTATATTGACAAATTTGCCAACATACAAATGAAACTTAATGGGCACTATTCTGGCCATAAGATACCTCATACATTAACTATTTAACCATAAGAAATTTTTCACACTACAGTACACGTACAATGGGCAAATGTTCACTTACAATACTGGAACTTCACTCAGTGCCATCGATGATTTTAGAGCCACATTTTTTCGAACATTTGAAGCTATGAAGCTGAAGGGTTTGGAAATTATCGAAACCATTCCAGGATGCTGGGAATGGGCTCACCAACTCTGATTATAAGTCACCTGAGCATACCAGTTGCTCTAAGAATCTTGTCCTAGTCACCGTGCACCAGCATTGAGAATTTGAAGCCAAACAGATGACCGCCTCGATTTATGGGTGAAAAATAGTTGAGAAAAAAAAAATGGCAAGGTCCCCCTTCGGGGATACTTAAATATATTATTACTATTTCTACCCAATGAAACTTCTTACTCTGCCAGCGGTAGGTGTGGGACTGGCTCCCCTTTGTTTACATTTGATTTATATTTGTTAACATTCACTGTCATTACCCACGTCCCAAAGCAAATGTGTTATTTTTACAAATTTCTCCCAAAATAATTTTCACAAAAAAAAAATAAGTCTGTGCCGTAGTATAGACAGCTTGCTTATATATTAAAAAAAAATGGGTGAATTCTCAAAAGGATCGAATCTTCATATTAGCTTTATTATTTGTGTACTCACTTATTTGATATTGCAGTGGTCGAGTCACAGCTTCTGGCCCTGTCTCTGAACTTGCTACTTGCTGGGTTTGCTCTCTTCTAGTCTCGTGTGTAATTAAGTTTATTCAGGTATAGGTACATATAAATACAGTTACATAAATTATCATACATAGCAGCATATGTGTACAGTACTCAGGATAACCTCCAAAAAAAGTCAGACGAAGTGACTTATTTCAATTGGCATCCTTGTAATATCTTATTATTTAAACCTTGAGTTAAAACAGAAAACAGATAAGTAACTCAGCTATGTGAAAAGCAGTTACAATAAAAGTAGATATACCAGGAATAAAGTAAAGTGAGTTATTTACATTAACATTAAAGAGAGGATCAGATCACAATAATAGGTACATGTATATTAGCTATACAAGAAACACTCTCCTCCCTTACTGTAGCCACATACATTAGGTACTTTTTGGCTCTCTTTCTGAACTGACTCGTGCTATGACAAACCTTGACATGTGCAGGCAGTCCGTTCCACTCCTTTATTACTGTACAATAAAAAAGGTTTGAAGCCTGACCACCTACTGTGGGTACTACAAAGTTGTGTTCCCTTCCCCTAGTACTGTACTGGCTTATGTTTCCAGCCTTGACAAACTTGGCAGCAAGATATTCTGGACACTACTTGTGAGAAATTTTATAAACGCGATTAAATTTCACTTGTTTTACTGTCTTCAACATTCAGCATATCAAATTGTAATTCATCCTGGCCTACATGCTCTCTTGGACCCAGGTCCAGGATGAATCTCACCATTTTGTTCTGAGTGATTTTTTGTTAAGGCAGGTACCATGAAGAGCAAGAGTAATCTATATGGCATTGTATAAGGGCTAGACGGTCCTGCTAGCCTCAGTAGGTAAACACTGTGCCTGTTTGTAGAGGAACTTTAGTCTGGCATTCGCTTGCTTTACTACACCGTTTCCTATCAATTCTTTTGACATGCTTGGGTCAAAGGGGGGGATTCCCAGATATTTCACTGAAGATACTGAAGTGATAGGTTCCCCATTACACTGGACATTAAAAGTATTTACCCTTTTTAGTTTATTTTTCGTGCCAGTATGACTTCCGTTTTCCCGAGGTGTAATGATAATTTGTTGTCTGCTAACCATTTACTGCAGGACTCTAGTTCTAATGACAGTACATTTGCTATATCTTGTGGGTCTTTACCTACCACTAAAAGAGCACTGTCGTCTAAATACCACAGAAGCTTACACTTGACGCTGATTAGCATGTCATTCACATATAAGAATAAGGGACCCAGAATACTACCTTGGGGGAACCCCACATGCTATCGGCAGAGATTCTGATTCTTTGTTGTTGATCTTGACAATTTGTTTCTTATTGCTTAGGTAGGACTTAAACCGGGCTACAGAACCTATGCTGATAGCTTGTAGTTTCTTACATAATATATAATGGTTGACTGTATCGAAGGCCTTTGCAAGTCTAAGGTCGCCATACCTATGAGATTCCCTAGCGACATTTGAGTTTTTAGGTAGTGAATGTGTTTAATAACATTAGTCTCACAGAAAATGAGAGGCAAGGATAATCAGATTATTTTATTCCACAAAACGACCTATAGTTAATTATAAATATTATTCAGAAATACGTTGAATATGATAGAATCAACAAAAAAGTTTAGCTCAATGCCGGTAAAGTATTATTATTCTTGGTATTACTATTATTATTATTATACATTAAGCATTATACCCGTGTGGCTTACTGAGCACTCAAATGTATTTTTTATAAACTGAATGGAATATCCTATACAAATGCAGTATCGTCTTTGCAAGCCTTCCTTATAAGAAAACGTATTTATATCAACGATGGAGTTTTTACGTGGAATGAAGAGATATTTTTTTTTTACTCTCTCTTCTCTTTTCTCCTTTGATGAAGGCTCGAACCTCAGTCAGGCTATCTCTCTGAGGAGATCCTGGAATTCCTGCGGACGCCTGAGAACCTTGTAACTCTCGGGGCCGTGGACCATAACTTCGAGGGCGTGCGGGCGGAGGTTGTAGTTAGAAGCCATGGAGGAGCAGTAGGCACCGGTGCGCCAGACAACGAGGGCCACTCCAGGGCCGGCAGGAGGACGCTGAAGAAGGCACCGACGGGCCAGGAAGTCGCTACTCTCGCACACGGGACCCACCACGTCCACCTCCACCAATGGCTGCAACACAGCATAAAACCATAAGACCAGATGAGCACTGTAAGAGGCCTAGAAGAACAGGATAACAGCCACCTAACCTAACCCAACCCAAGCTAGCCTTTCGTCCTACTTTACAATTTAACCGAGGGCTTTTGTCCAGACCCTGATGCACTGGCTCATGTTAGGCAGGTCCTGCCAACAGCAATAAGTCACATAATGATTTTATTGAGTTAGCTTAGATTAATTTACACGCTTTACAAGACAATTAAAAAAACTAAGTGTTTGTATTGAGCCTGAATATTATTATTATTATTATAATCAAAAAGAAGCGCTAAGCCACAAGGGCTATACAGCTTGAGCCTGAATAAAACTTACCCACACTAAGCTTTAGAAAGTTAAAACACGGACTTTAAACAAAATTACTGTTATTAACTACTGTTATTATCGTTGTTACTGTATCAATAATAATCATGCGAGATACCTGATGGGCGGGCGGAGTGACGTAGGTAATGGGGTGGTGGGCGTGGTAGAGGGCGGGCCGGATCACTTCCGTCATGGCAGCGTCAACCACCACATATTCTTTTCCACCGTTAGTTTTGACCCCTAGCACCTCTGTCATTACCACACCTGTCATGATCACACCTGTCATTACCATACCTATGTCATTACATGCTCTCATCACACCTGTCATTACCATACCTATGTCATTACATGCTCTCATCACACCTGTCATTACCATACCTGTCATTACATGCTCTCATCACACCTGTCATTGCCATACCTGTCATTACATGCTCTCATCACACCTGTCATTACCATACCTGTCATTACATGCTCTCATCACCCCTGTTATTACCATACCTATGTCATTACATGCTCTCATCACACCTGTCATTACCATACCTATGTCATTACATGCTCTCATCACACCTGTCATTACCATACCTATGTCATTACATGCTCTCATCACACCTGTCATTACCATACCTATGTCATTACATGCTCTCATCACACCTGTCATTACCATACCTGTCATTACATGCTCTCATCACACCTGTCATTACCATACCTGTCATTACATGCTCTCATCACACCTGTCATTACCATACCTATGTCATTACATGCTCTCATCACACCTGTCATTACCATACCTATGGCATTACATGCTCTCATCACACTTGTCATTACCATACCTGTCATTACATGCTCTCATCACACCTGTCATTACCATACCTGTCATTACATGCTCTCATCACACCTGTCATTACCATACCTGTCATTACATGCTCTCATCACCCCTGTTATTACCATACCTATGTCATTACATGCTCTCATCACACCTGTCATTACCATACCTATTTCATTACATGCTCTCATCACACCTGTCATTACCATACCTATGTCATTACATGCTCTCATCACACCTGTCATTACCATACCTGTCATTACATGCTCTCATCACACCTGTCATTACATGCTCTCATCACACCTGTCATTACCATACCTATGTCATTACATGCTCTCATCACACCTGTCATTACCATACCTATGGCATTACATGCTCTCATCACACCTGTCATTACCATACCTATGTCATTACATGCTCTCATCACACCTGTCATTACCATACCTGTCATTACATGCTCTCATCACACCTGTCATTACCATACCTGTCATTACATGCTCTCATCACACCTGTCATTACCATACCTGTCATTACATGCTCTCATCACACCTGTCATTACCATACCTGTCATTACATGCTCTCATCACACCTGTCATTACCATACCTGTCATTACATGCTCTCATCACACCTGTCATTACCATACCTGTCATTACATGCTCTCATCACACCTGTCATTACCATACCTGTCATTACATGCTCTCATCACACCTGTCATTACCATACCTGTCATTACATGCTCTCATCACACCAGTCATTAACAATTTTTACCTATCATAGAAATTTATTTCTATCAACACTATTATTATACTATTATTACTGCTACACATAAAAACTGTTTACTCCTATCATCTGATGAAAACTCACACTCACGCGAGCTTTTAAATCTCTGCACAAAATTCAATTTAAACCAGCAAATAATAGAGCCTACTAGACTGGAGAATACACTAGACCTCATCTTCACTAACAATGATGATCTGATAAGAAATGTCACCATATCAAAAACAATATACTCAGATCACAACATAATTGAGGTTCAGACATGTATGAGTGGAGCCCCAGACCGACATAATGAGACTAGTCACGAGGGAGCATTCACCAAACTCAACTTCAATAACAAAAACATAAAGTGGGACCAAGTAAACCAAGTCCTAACCGATATAAGCTGGGAAGATATACTAAGCAACACAGACCCCAACTTATGCCTAGAACAGATTAACTCGGTGGCATTCGATGTATGCACAAGGCTTATTCCTCTAAGAAAAAGGAGGAGTAGATGTAAAATAGAAAGAGACAGGCGCTCCCTTTACAGGCGAAGGAAAAGAATAACAGAGCGGCTAAAAGAGGTCAATATATCTGAAATGCGTAGGGAGACACTGGTCAGAGAAATAGCAAGCATCGAACTTAAGCTAAAAGAATCCTTTAGGAGTCATGAATCGCGGGAAGAACTAAAAGCCATAAATGAAATCGAAAGAAACCCAAAGTATTTCTTCTCCTATGCCAAATCAAAATCGAGAACAACGTCCAGTATTGGACCCCTACTTAAACAAGATGGGTCCTACACAGATGACAGCAAGGAAATGAGTGAGCTACTCAAGTCCCAATATAACTCAGTTTTTAGCAAGCCGCTAACCAGACTGAGAGTCGAAGATCAAAATGAATTTTTTTGAGAGAGCCACAAAATTTGATTAACACAAGCCTATCCGATGTTATCCTGACGCCAAATGACTTCGAACAGGCGATAAATGACATGCCCATGCACTCTGCCCCAGGGCCAGACTCATGGAACTCTGTGTTCATCAAGAACCTTTTCCATCCTATGGAGAGGGAGCATGGACACGGGGGTCGTCCCACAGTTACTAAAAACAACAGACATAGCCCCACTCCACAAAGGGGGCAGTAAAGCAACAGCAAAGCACTACAGACCAATAGCACTAACATCCCATATCATAAAAATCTTTGAAAGGGTCCTAAGAAGCAAGATCACCACCCATCTAGAAACCCATCAGTTACACAACCCAGGGCAACATGGGTTTAGAACAGGTCGCTCCTGTCTGTCTCAACTATTGGATCACTATGACAAGGTCCTAAATGCACTAGAAGACAAAAAGAATGCAGATGTAATATATACAGACTTTGCAAAAGCCTTCGACAAGTGTGACCATGGCGTAATAGCGCACAAAATGCGTGCTAAAGGAATAACAGGAAAAGTCGGTCGATGGATCTATAATTTCCTCACTAACAGAACACAGAGAGTAGTCGTCAACAGAGTAAAGTCCGAGGCAGCTACGGTGAAAAGCTCTGTTCCACAAGGCACAGTACTCGCTCCCATCTTGTTCCTCATCCTCATATCCGACATAGACAAGGATGTCAGCCACAGCACCGTGTCTTCCTTTGCAGATGACACCCGAATCTGCATGACAGTGTCTTCCATTGCAGACACTGCAAGGCTCCAGGCGGACATCAACCAAATCTTTCAGTGGGCTGCAGAAAACAATATGAAGTTCAACGATGAGAAATTTCAATTACTCAGATATGGTAAACATGAGGAAATTAAATCTTCATCAGAGTACAAAACAAATTCTGGCCACAAAATAGAGCGAAACACCAACGTCAAAGACCTGGGAGTGATTATGTCGGAGGATCTCACCTTCAAGGACCATAACATTGCATCAATCGCATCTGCTAGAAAAATGACAGGATGGATAATGAGAACCTTCAAAACTAGGGAGGCCAAGCCCATGATGACACTCTTCAGGTCACTTGTTCTATCTAGGCTGGAATATTGCTGCACACTAACAGCACCTTTCAAGGCAGGTGAAATTGCCGACCTAGAAAATGTACAGAGAACCTTCACGGCACGCATAACGGAGATAAAACACCTCAATTATTGGGAGCGCTTGAGGTTCCTAAACCTGTATTCCCTGGAACGCAGGAGGGAGAGATACATGATTATATACACCTGGAAAATCCTAGAGGGACTAGTACCGAACTTGCACACGAAAATCACTCACTATGAAAGCAAAAGACTTGGCAGACGATGCACCATCCCCCCAATGAAAAGCAGGGGTGTCACTAGCACGTTAAGAGACCATACAATAAGTGTCAGGGGCCCGAGACTGTTCAACTGCCTCCCAGCACACATAAGGGGGATTACCAACAGACCCCTGGCAGTCTTCAAGCTGGCACTGGACAAGCACCTAAAGTCAGTTCCTGATCAGCCGGGCTGTGGCTCGTACGTTGGTTTGCGTGCAGCCAGCAGCAACAGCCTGGTTGATCAGGCTCTGATCCACCAGGAGGCCTGGTCACAGACCGGGCCGCGGGGGCGTTGACCCCCGGAACTCTCTCCAGGTAAACTCCAGGTAATTACTACTACTAATGCTAATACTACTTTCCCTACTAATGTTATTATCACTGTTGTTATTACTATTACTGCATTTATTACTATACTTTATTACAAGTATTCTTATTACTATTATTACTTCTAATACTACTGCTGGTACTACTAAGACTATTACTATTACTTCTATTATTAGCAGCAACACCACCAGCAGCAGGATGTGGTGGTTGTACTGGTGGAAGAAATTTGTAGTAGTGATTAGAAGTAATGGTGTTTTTATTATACTCGTTTTAAATATCGTCAGTATACCGGCAGAGGCGACGAGGGAACGACCAGGTTCCAGCACTAGGGTCGCCCCCTCAGGTAAATATGGCAGCACTTTTTCTATCAGCTCCTGAGGTGTGTACCCCGAAGACGAGGTGTCTGCCGTCACTGGGCTGGATACTGCAGAATTGGCAGCAGTTTCTTTCGATTTGGACTGTCTTTCCATGGTTGCTGGCGGGGGCATCGTAGAAGCAGGTGAGGTTGGTAGATCGTAGAAAACATTAAGGCCCCCTCCTAGGTTGATGATGGTCGCTGCCTTCCAGCCATACTCCTGGATCTGAGCAACAAAACCATCTTTAGACAGGTCTTGGAATCAGATTCAAAGGATTATAGTTTTGGAATAATTAATATACTTGCTGAATGCAAGTTTTAATCCTTAAAAAATGGTCAAAGTCAGTCCTAAAAACTTTGAAGTGAATACGAAGAGCGTCAAAATTGAACCTTGTGGTAATATTTGAGCTAGTTACAGGTAAAATCTTACTGATGCTTGCATGGCCGACAAAGAATTTCGAGATATAATTGAGAATGAAGAAAAATAATCTTGCTTTTAATGAATATTAAATGTGATATAAACTTAACTCAGTACGACTTGACTCAAGAAATCGTCATGTTGACGGCAGTGAAGGGACTTGAGCTAGAGTTCGTCACGGCCACGCTAGCTGGAGATTCGCCTGTAAAAACTTGCATTTGTGGTCACAGAGGTGCCTGTGCTAACTTTCCTATGGTGTAGAAATATACCTAGTTGGATGAATCTTATTGTGGCTAGCTGGTCTAGTGGCTAACGCGACGGGCTGGAGTTTTGAGACTCTATGACCGCGGGTTCAATCCCGGCCGAGGGTATGGTTTAACTCAGTACACCTGACCAAAATATTTTATATGGAGACGATGAATGGGGGTAGACTCCCTGGTACATAACTAATTCAAGAGGACACACTGCCAAAATAAATTCATTTGTAATGAGATTGGAAACCCTAAACAAGACTTCCTAGTAGTAAGCTATAGATGCAGAAAGAATGAGTGACAAAATTCTTGATTCCTATATTGGTGGCCCGGTGGCCTGGTGGCTAAAGCTCCCGCTTCACACACGGAGGGCCCGGGTTCGATTCCCGGCGGGTGGAAACATTTCGACACGTTTCCTTACACCTGTTGTCCTGTTCACCTAGCAGCAAATAGGTACCTGGGTGTTAGTCGACTGGTGCGGGTCGCATCCTGGGGGACAAGATTAAGGACCCCAATGGAAATAAGTTAGACAGTCCTCGATGACGCACTGACTTTCTTGGGTTATCCTGGGTGGCTAACCCTCCGGGGTTAAAAATCCGAACGAAATCTTATCTCTTATCTTATCTTAAGATCAAACTTTTTCTGGATCGATGGGACGCAGGAATTGCAAAGAAAGAGAGAAGTTCAGATAAGGCCGCCGGAGATGTTAATATTATGGAGGGTTTGCTATAAATTTCGCTACCACGAAGAAAGAGTTCGGTTACCTGCTTAAGGACGAGGGAGGCGGCTTGCATCATCTTAACATAGACCTGAATCTGGGTGATGGCGGAACCGACATGGACATGCACGCCCTCTACGCTCACATATTTATGTACGGCCACACACTCGTCCAAGTCCACATGACCGCTGGCGCCACTCCCTCCCAGCACCTTTAAGACCTGCATGGATTTCAAAAGCTATGTTAGTGTAAGAAAAATGTTAAATATGGTATGTATCTAATTGCGTGGAGAATGAAAGTCACAATACCATGGCTGGAACAATTCACAACTCACAAATTGGAAATGGAAACTGAACGATGTTTCGATTCGTGCCAGAATCTGATTAACCTATTTGAGTTTGTTTGGGATGAGGGAAAGGTAACCCCAGCCGGGGCTTATCTGTTAACTTTGGATTGACTGATTTTAAATGTTTTTCATATTTGCATTTAGACCCTGTATGAAAGGCTCTCAAGCCAAGGATTTGGATCAAGCATCATTACCTCCCATCAACTTCAGATGCTGTAGGAACCCTACTAATTTAGTGCTTCTTGAATATATTTTTTTTCTTCCCACGGCCCGCAAGATGGGGTCCGGCTTGGTCCTGTTCATAATGCAGTCCAGACGAGCCGGGCCATCTGCCTCGCCTCCAATTTGTCGATACCACACCTGTCATATTACGTAGACTTACTCTTCTCAGTCAGTGTTGTGGGACAACTGTCCTCCCACACACGACTGTCCCTCAGCATTCGTTTATAAAAGACGAATGAAATTTACCATGAACTCGAGCTACGGCATTTGTCTGTTTTCCCTGCTGACACGCTCCCCGCGTGGCCACAGAAAATATCTACATAACTTTGCGATGAGGTGGTGACGTGTACTTAGCTCAGTGGTGACGTGTACTTAGCTCAGTGGTGATGTGTACTTAGCTCAGTGGTGACGTGTACTTAGCTTGAGTGGTGACGTGTACTTAGCTCTGTGAAGACCTGTTTGTGTGCTCTCTGTGAATCTGAACCAGGATGCCCTCTCTTGAGCAACTTTACCAGCAGCTGAGAGAAGAGCTCAGAGTTGCTAAGATGGAGATACGGCGATTAACGGAGGAGAACAAGAGGATTCATAGTAATCCTCCTGTTGTGAGTCCCCAGGTTAAGAGGGGAGCTTGGTCAGTGGCCGGGCAACATGGAACCAAGCTGAAGATCAAGAAAACGGTTGGAGAGGCAGAAAACAACGAGAAACCAGAAGACTACCGTGGAAACTTCCAACCCATTCTCGGTGCTACCTGACGAATGTGAGTGTTCTACTGGGAATGCAACAACGAGCACCAAAGAAGCATTGGCAGACGTGAGTGAGACATCCCTAGAAACCCCAACGAAGACCATTGAGAACGTCTTGACGAATTCTACAAGTGGTGTAATGCTACCTGGCGAATGTGAGTCGACTACTCAGAGCATCACGGACGGACGATGCCAAGGAAGGTAAAAACATTGTTGTTGTTGGGGATAGCCAGATTAGGTACATGGATAGGGCATTCTGCTTGAAGGATAGGAGTAGGAGGCAGAGAGTGTGTTTTCCTGGGGCTGGGATGAAGGATATTGTTAGCCATCTGGATGACATCATGAGAAGTAATGGGAGCAATTCTATTATCTGTCTCAGTGCTGGAGGCAACGATGTTGGCAGACGTAGGAGTGAGGACCTGATTAGCAGGTATAGGTCAGCAATAGAGATAATTAGGAGGAAGGGTGGGAAACCTGTCATATGTGGCATTTTGCCAAGGAGAGGAGTTGGAAATGAATGGTTGTCCAGAGCAATTGGTGTCAATTGCTGGCTGGACAAATACTGTAAGGAAAATGCGGTAACATTCATTGACAACTGGGACCTCTTCTATGGCAGAAATGACATGTATGCCAGGGATGGGGTTCACTTATCTAGGTGTGGGGTGGGAGCACTGGCCAACGCAGTGGAGGGAGCTGTTAGGTCTTTAAACTAGGAATAGTTAGTGGTATGGGTTTTGGCGGGAAAACTGTGAAGTCTCGGGGTAGTAATATGAGTACTAGGAGAACTAGTAATAGGCAAAATAAGGTGGATATTGGAAAGCCAGTGGCACTAATTGACAAGGACAGTAATAGGTTTAGTGGAATAACAGAAAGGAGCAGGAAGGGTAAAGAGAGAGGGGAGTCTTTAGGTATTTATTACACAAATAGTCGCAGTGCTAGGAATAAGATGGACGAGTTGAGACTAGTTGCTAGTGCAGGTAACATAGATGTATTTGCCATTACTGAGACGTGGTTTAATTCAAAAAGTCGGGACATGCCTGCAGAATGTCACATTCAGGGTTTTAAATTGTTCCAAGTAGATAGAAGTATCGGGAAGGGGGGTGAGGTGGCACTGTATGTCCGAGATCGCTTGAACTGTTGCATAAAAACGGGTATTAAGTCTGAAGTAACACATACAGAGTCTGTTTGGATAGAATTTTCAGAGGGGCATGAAAAATTAATTTTAGGTGTGATATACCACCCCAAATTTAATAGGGACCAGGGGAGAATACTATGGGAGGAAATTGTTAGGGCCACAAGGCACGATAATGTAGTAATTCTAGGAGACTTTAACTTTAGCCATATTGATTGTAATTTCTTGACTGGGAATTTAGAATCATACGACTTCTTAGAAGTAGTTCAGGATTGTTTTTTGAAGCAGTTTGTGACAGAACTACAAGGGGTAATAACCTGCTTGACTTAGTTCTGGCAAACAATGAATCCCTTGTTAATAATTTAGAAGTTTCAGAGGAACTGGGTGCTAGCGACCACAAATCAATTACATTTAGAATTGAATGGAAGTATGATAGTAGGGATAACTCAGTAACAGTCCCAGATTTTCGCTTAGCAGATTACGATGGGCTTAGAGAACACTTATCATCTGTTGACTGGGGTAACGAAGAGAGCTATCAATATGACAGTTTTCTGAACACAATACATGCTGCTCAAAGAACGTTTATCCCTAATAAAGAAATTAGATCAAATAGAAATGACCCAAAATGGATGAATAATAGGCTGAAATATCTATTAGGGCATAAGAAAGGAATTTATGGGCGTATCAAAAGAGGCGAGGGTCATCTTATGAATCAGTATATTGACATTAAGAGGGACATTAAAAAGGGGATAAGAAAAGCTAAAAGGGACTATGAAATTAAAGTTGCTAGGGATTCTAAAACTAACCCAAAAAGTTTTTTCCAGGTATATAGAACAAAAGTCAGAGATAAGATAGGTCCCCTTAAAAATAACTATGGGCATCTTAGTGACAAAGAGAATGAAATGTGCTCGATTTTAAATAATTATTTTCTCTCGGTTTTTACACAGGAAGACACTAATAATATTCCGGTAATTAATTTTTATAGTGGGCCAGAAGAAGATAAATTATGTAACATCACAGTCACTAGTGAAATGGTTGTGAAGCAGATAGACCGACTGAAGCAAAATAAGTCACCGGATCCTGATGAGGTTTTTTCAAGGGTTCTAAAGGAATGCAAAATGAAAGTCTGTGAACCATTAACTAATATTTTTAATTTATCTCCTCAAACAGGTGTAGTGTCTGATATGTGGAAGATGGCTATTGTAATTCCTATTTTTAAAACAGGGGACAAGTCGTTACCGTCAAATTCCGCCCAATAAGCCTGACCTCAATTGTAGGCAAATTACTAGAGTCAATTATAGCTGAGATTATAAGAAGCCATCTCGATAAGCATAGCTTGATTAATGATACTCAGCATGGATTCACAAGAGGCCGGTCTTGTCTAACTAATTTATTAACTTTCTTCAGTAAAGCTTTTGAGGCTGTTGACCACGATAAAGAATTTGATATTGTTTATTTAGATTTTAGTAAGGCATTTGATAGAGTTCCGCACCAAAGACTGTTGAAGAAAGTAGCAGCTCATGGTATTGGGGGAAGGGTGCTCTCGTGGATCGAATCATGGCTCACAGACAGGAGGGACTGATTACCTCATTCTCCTCCTGTTCTTCAAGTTTCTCCTACGTTTGGACTGATGAAGCCACTGTGTGGTGAAACGTTTCCTCAATAAAGATACCCAAGAGTTGCACATGTGTCTAATTTATCAATCACAGACAGGAAGCAGAGAGTGTCCATAAATGGGGTTAAATCCGAGTGGGGATCAGTAACAAGTGGCGTTCCACAGGGATCAGTCTTGGGCCCGTTGTTGTTTATAATATATATCAATGATCTTGATGAAGGAATTACTAGTGATATGAGCAAATTCGCCGATGACACGAAGATAGGTAGGATAATTGATTCAAACGTAGATGTTAGGGAACTTCAGGAGGATTTAGACAAACTCTACTCTTGGTCAGAAAAGTGGCAGATGCAGTTCAATGTAGATAAATGCAAGGTTCTGAAGCTCGGGAGTGTCCATAACCCTAGCACTTATAAGTTAAATAATGTAGAACTTAGCCATACAGATTGCGAAAAGGACTTGGGGGTTATGGTAAGCAGCAACCTTAAACCAAGACAGCAATGCCTAAGCGTACGTAATAAGGCAAATAGATTACTGGGATTTATATCAAGAAGTGCGGTATAAACCTTGGTAATAAATACCGACAAGTTGGTTTAGAAAGACACGTAAGCAAACACTATAACATATTTATTAGAAAACGTTTCGGTCCTGGGACCTTGATCACTTCTAACATACAGAGGTAGGAAGACATTATATATAGGCGGAGAGTGAGGTGTGACGCACGTGACCTGAGGAATGTCATAAGAACATAAGAATGGAGGAACACTGTTGAAGGCCTACTGGCCCATGCGAGGCAGGTCCTTATCAAAAACAACCTCTGCCTATGATGAGGACGGGTAGACGATGAAATCACGTGACTCCTGTGTTGTTGGGTTGGTGCTGCTTAAGTATCATGTATGCCAATGTTTTTGAAATTTTGTAGTTTCCAGTGTTGCGTTCTATAGTGTCGGTGACGGCGATTAGTGAGGCTTCTAGGCACCTTCGGCGTCTGAGGTCTGGTTCGGTGAGAACGAATTGTGCCTCATTCCAGTTCATCAAATGCCCCGAGACAGGCAGAGATCTTGCAGTCCGCCTGAATGAGCATCGAAATGCCTCTAACAGAGACGATGTAAGGTACGCATGTGTCCTCCACAGACTCCACGGGGCATTTGATGAACTGGAATGAGGCACAACTCGTTCTCACCGAACCAGACCTCAGACGCCGACGGTGCCTAGAAGCCTCACTAATCGCCGTCACTGACACTATAGAACGCAACACTGGAAACTACAAAATTTCAAAAACATTGGCATACATGATACTTAAGCAGCACCAACCCAACAACACAGGAGTCACATGATTTCATCGTCTACCCGTCCTCGTCATAGGTAGAGGTTGTTTTGATAAGGACCTGCCTCGCATGGGCCAGTAGGCCTTCAACAGTGTTCCTCCATTCTTATGTTCTTATGGCATTCCTCAGGTCACGTGCGTCACATCTCACTCTCCGCCTATGTATATAATGTCTTTCTACCTCTGCATGTTAGAAGTGATCAAGGTCCCAGGACCGAAACGTTTTCTAATAAATATGTTATAGTGTTTGCTTATGTGTCTTTCTAAATCATATATATTATAAACAACAACGGGCCCAAGACTGATCCCTGTGGAACGCCACTTGTTACAGATCCCCACTCGGATTTAACCCCATTTATGGACACTCTGCTTCCTGTCTGTGAGCCATGACTCGACCCACGAGAGCACTTTTCCCCCAATGCCATGAGCTGCCACTTTCTTTAACAGTCTTTGGTGCGGAACTCTATCAAAAGCCTTACTAAAATCTAAGTAAATAATATCAAATTCTTTATCGTGGTCAACAGCCTCAAAAGCTTTACTGAAGAAAGTTAATAAATTAGTTAGACAAGACCGGCCTCTTGTGAATCCATGCTGAGTATCATTAATCAAGCTATGCTTATCGAGATGGCTTCTTATAATCTCAGCTATAATTGACTCTAGTAATTTGCCTACAATTGAGGTCAGGCTTATTGGGCGGTAATTTGACGGTAACGACTTGTCCCTGTTTTAAAAATAGGAATTACATTAGCCATCTTCCACATATCAGACACTACACCTGTTTGAAGAGATAAATTAAAAATATTAGTTAATGGTTCACAGAGTTCCATTTTGCATTCCTTAAGAACCCTTGAAAAAACCTCATCAGGACCCGGTGACTTATTTTGCTTCAGTCGGTCTATCTGCTTCACAACCATTTCACTAGTGACTGTGATGTTACATAATTTATCTTCTTCTGGCTCACTATAGAAATTAATTACTGGAATGTTATTAGTGTCTTCCTGCGTAAAAACCGAGAGAAAATAATTATTTAAAATCGAGCACATTTCATTCTCTTTGTCACTAAGATGCCCATAGTTATTTTTAAGGGGACCTATCTTATCTCTGACTTTTGTTCTATATACCTGGAAAAAACTTTTTGGGTTAGTTTTAGAATCCCTAGCAACTTTAATTTCATAGTCCCTTTTAGCTTTTCTTATCCCCTTTTTAATGTCCCTCTTAATGTCAATATACTGATTCATAAGATGACACTCACCTCTTTTGCTACGCCTATAAATTCCTTTCTTATGCCCTAGTAGATATTTGAGCCTATTATTCATCCATTTTGGGTCATTTCTATTTGATCTAATTTCTTTATACGGAATAAACGTTCTTTGAGCCTCATGTATAGTGTTCAGAAAACTGTCATATTGATAGCTCTCTTCGTTACTCCAGTCAACAGATGATAAGTGTTCTCTAAGCCCATCGTAATCTGCTAAGCGAAAATCTGGGACTGTTACTGAGTTATCCCTACTATCATACTTCCATTCAATTCTAAATGTAATTGATTTGTGGTCGCTAGCACCCAGTTCCTCTGAAACTTCTAAATTATTAACAAGGGATTCATTGTTTGCCAGAACTAAGTCAAGCAGGTTATTACCCCTTGTAGGTTCTGTCACAAACTGCTTCAAAAAACAATCCTGAACTACTTCTAAGAAGTCGTATGATTCTAAATTCCCAGTCAAGAAATTCCAATCAATATGACTAAAGTTAAAGTCTCCTAGAATTACTACATTATCGTGCCTTGTGGCCCTAACAATTTCCTCCCATAGTATTCTCCCCTGGTCCCTATCTAAGTTTGGGGGACGGTATATCACACCTAAAATTAATTTTTCATGCCCTCTGAAAATTCTATCCAAACAGACTCTGTATGTGTTACTTCAGACTTAATACCCGTTTTTATGCAACAGTTCAAGCGATCTCGGACATACAATGCCACCCCACCCCCTTCCCGACACTTCTATCTACTTGGAACACTTTAAAACCCTGAATGTGACATTCCGCAGGCATGTCCCGACTTTTTGAATTAAACCACGTTTCAGTTAAGGTAAATACATCAATGTTACCTGCACTAGCAACTAGTCTCAACTCGTCCATCTTATTCCTAGCACTGCGACTATTTGTGTAATGTATATTTAAAGACCCTCCTTTCTCTTTACCCTTCCTGCTCCTTTCTGTTATTCCACTAAACCTGTTACTGTCCTTGTCAATTTGTGCCACTGGCTTTCCAATATCTACCTCATTTTGCCTATTACTAGTTCTCCTAGTACTCATATTACTACACTGCGACTTGACTGTTTTCCCGCCAAAACCCATACCACTAACTATTCCTAGTTTAAAGACCCAACAGCTCCCTCCACTGCAGTTGCCAGTGCTCCCAGCCCAGACCTAGATAAGTGAACCCCATCCCTGGCATACATGTCATTTCTGCCATAGAAGAGGTCCCAGTTGTCAATGAATGTTACCGCATTTTCCTTACAGTATTTGTCCAGCCAGCAATTGACACCAATTGCCCTGGACAACCATTCATTTCCAACTCCTCTCCTTGGCAAAATACCACATATGACAGGGTTCCCACCCTTCCTCCTAATTATTTCTATTGCTGACCTATACCTGCTAATCAGGTCGTCACTCCTACGTCTGCCAACATTGTTGCCACCAGCACTGAGACAGATAATAGGATTGCTCCCATTACCTCTCATGATGTCATCCAGACGGCTAACAATATCCTCCATCCCAGCCCCAGGAAAGCAAACTCTCTGTCTCTTACTCCTGTCCTTCAAGCAGAACGCCCTATCCATATACCTAATTTGGCTATCCCCAACAACAACAATATTCTTACCTTCCTTGGTGTCGATCGTCGTGACGTTCCCAGTAGTCGACTCACATTCGTCGGGTAGCACTGAGAATGTATTAGATGTTTCCACAACAGTTTCCACGGCAGTCTCTTCTTCATCGTTTCTACCTTTCCATTCGTCTTCTTGATCGTCAACTTCGTTCCCTGCTGTCCAGCCACTGACCAGTTTCCTTTCTTGACCTGAGGACTCAAAACAGAAGGACTACTACGAATCTTCTTGTTTTCCTCGGTCAGTCGCCGAATCTCCATCTTCGCCATTCTCAATTCTTCCTTAAGCTGTTGGTAAAGTTGCTCGATGGAGGGCATCTTGCTTCAATTCGTAGAGAGCGTGCAAACAGGTCTTCACAGAGCTAAGTACACGTCACCACAAAGAAAAATGCACAATTTTCATTGACAGCATGGAAAAATACTTTCATGGTTCAAGTAATAGTCGTAATGGTCATTGCAATTACACACCATAGGGCCCCTAAATGTTGTTGATATGGGCCCTGGACCTCATAGTAACAATCATCATCACCACCACCACTATTATTATCACTACCAGCCTGCACCGTCATCGTTACCACCATCGTCATAGTTACCATCACTACCACCATGAGGTTTAATTCACATACTATTCTGAGCACTGTGATCCCTCCAGTACCCACCTGAAGAAGCTGCCGCTCTTCCACGCCGAACTTGGAGTCCCTAAGAGCCGTGGCCAGGTATGGGTGAGTGTGGGCGTCGAGGACGGGGTTGAGGCGTACCAGTGCCCTCGCCCGCACGCCCACCTCACGTACCACATCAACCAGCAGCTGAGCGTCGAACACAGAGTCCACATTGAGGAGCACTTCATGGCGGACAGCCAGCTCCACCTCCCACCTGCCCGTCAGGATATAATATTCAAGTGGGAGCGCTAAACTTCTAATTATTATTATTATAAACAAAAGAAACGCTAAACCTACGAGGGTCATACAGCTCCTTATAGGTTTAGGGGTTCTTTTGATAATAATAATTATAGGTCAAGCATCTCTTCGGGAATAGAAGGTAGCCAAGTTTAATCCAAGGAGAGAATGCCTCCAGTTCTTTGAATCAAGAGCCTGCACCAGCATCAAGGTTGAAAAAAATTCTTCATGTATGGTAACGTGCAAATGGATATTTTTTTTTTAAGCTGGTTGAAAAAACCTAGATTAATATTTTTTGCAGAAATAAAATTTTCATTTGTATGATAAATTTCTTCCCTTAGGCCATGATATCTGTATGATCCATACTGGTTTTGCGCTTCCCCTGACGGAAATAATAATTGAGATAGATTTACTGGTTAATGTTGGCCTCTGTACTTTGGTTTAAACTGTTGGTATTGTATTAATAATAATTATTAATATAGTTTTTGGCGTAGTCCCAGGCCCGGTGGCCTGGTGGCTAAAGCTCCCGCTTCACACACGGAGGGCCCGGGTTCGATTCCCGGCGGGTGGAAACATTTCGACACGTTTCCTTACACCTATTGTCCTATTCACCTAGCAGCAAATAGGTACCTGGGTGTTAGTCGACTGGTGTGGGTCGCATCCTGGGGGACAAGATTAAGGACCCCAATGGAAATAAGTTAGATAGTCCTCGATGACGCACTGACTTTCTTGGGTTATCCTGGGTGGCTAACCCTCCGGGGTTAAAAATCCGAACGAAATCTTATCTTATCTCTTACTGACTTTTATAAATTTCTTTTGAACTCCTCCGTTAATTAAATGACATCGAACCTCTATCACTGCTTGTGATTAATGTTGGAAAAAACAAAAGGATTTCTTTTCTTATATAAATGTTCAAATTTTGTGATGTTTTTACAAACATATATAATAACTCTCTGAATATTCTTAAGTTTGGTATATATTGGTTGAAAAATTATTTTCTATAATATGGAAACAGTCGGACAATAATAAACAATGTAAACTGAAAATCATGCTAAAGGACCCATCCTGGTTTACCTCAAAATATAGGGCGTCCCGTAAGTTTGTTCGTAGAAAGTGTACGACGTGTCCCCCATTATTAAAATTCGAATGCAGACTATATATCCAGTCAACAAGCACACGGTGAATGTCACTAACAGTCAGTACCTGACCAGCCGAACTGTGGTTTGTACGTTGACTGTGTGCGGCCAGCAGTAACAGCCTGGTTAATCAGGCCCTGATCCACCGGGAGGCCTGTTCAAGGACTGGTCCGGGGGGGCCTTGACCCCACCCTCCAGGTAGCACTAATGAAAACTCACCTTTCGATTCCAAACTAATAGGGCACCCTTAGAAAAAAAAAGCCTCACTAACCTGCGTTTGCCGTTCCCATTCAAGATAACCTGACGAGGAAGGAAACCAGCATGAAGGGCCATGAGCACCTCATTACCACTAACGGTGGTGGCCATGGTCACTCCGGCGTCCCTGAGGGCCACCAGCAGCCCAGGATTGCTGTTGGCCTTCAGTGAGTAGGATAACACTCCTCGTGGGCCCTGGAAATATGATAAATCAAGATAAAAAACCCTCATAAAGGGAAATATTGTTCCCCTTCTAAGATGGTGCCATGATGTTGGCGAAGAGCTCTGAAACCAAAATAGTGAAGCTGTCTCTGGCACTAATTAGCTAGGATTCATTAAGGAGCACTTTTCAGAGAAAAGCTATCGAAACTGTAACTACCTCATCATACATACCAGTGTATCCTTGTAGTCACGCACGTTGTGTCTCAACATACCCAAGGAATACACAAAGGCCGGGGAAGCCAGATACCCATACTTCTGCCGTAGGCACATCCTCAGTCGCTCCAGCGAGAACCCATCACAGTGAAGGGTCCCTTGTGAGTACGCCCAGCCATTCACCTGCGGAATCGAATACTTTTTTGACATGCCGGAAATGTATGGAATTAATGTGCCGTAAGTTGGCTGGTTACTTACTTTTGCAATCGCTATATTTAAACCTTTACATTTTAAAAACGATAAGAACAGAACACGCATATATATTATATATATATATATATATATATTATATATATATATTATATATATATATATATTATATATATATATATTATATATATATATATATATATATATATATATTATAATATATTATATATATATATATATATATATATATATATATATATTATATATATATATATATATATATGCGTTTATATATGTAACTTCAAAATGATTACCATTATGTATGACAGTAGTGGTGGTGGTGGCTGTTATGATGGTAATGGTGATAGCCACAATAGCCCACTGATAACTAATCTCTGACCGGTGATGCAATAGCACGGCCGCTGTAAGGAACTAGTTTTAACATGCTCATAGTTTACATCCAGGGGAAATTAAACAACTGAAAGTATATAAAGGTATATTAATATCATGTATCAGTTTGTGGACATCTAACACACGTAAAATATCACAAGAACCCCAATGAAAACAAGTTACTCGGACTTTTTTGGGGTTATCTTAAGTAATTTACACATATGTTACCATATAATAATCCAAATTCGTGTAAAACTTTACCTAAATAAACTCAATGCCCGAAATGCTCTACATACCCAGAGGGAGTTTCGGGGGTCAATGCCCACGCGACCCGGTTCATGATCAGGCTTTGCGGCGGATCAAGGCCTGATCAACCAGGCTGTTACTGCTGGCCGCACGCAAACCGACGTACGAACCACGGCCCGGCTGGTCAGGTACTGATTTCAGGTGCCTGTCCAGCTCCCTCTTGAAGATAGCCAGGGGTCTAATGGTAATCTCCCATATGTATACTGGGAGGCAGTTGAAAAATCTTGGACCCCTGACACTTATTGTGTTGTCTCTGCGTTCCCATGGTGCTCCTGCTTTTAATTGGGGGGATGTACCACCTGCTGAGTTTTTTGCAGTGTGCAGATTTGGGACTTGTCTCTGTATGATTTTCCAAGTGTATATTATCATTATCTTTCTCGCCTACGTTCCAAGGAGTACAGGTCAAGGGACTTTAACCGTTCCCAGTAATTTAGGTGCTTTACTGTACTTATACCCGCAGTGAAAGTTCTCTGTATATTCTCCAGGTCTGCAATTTCGCCTGCCTTGAAAAGGGCCGTTAGTGTACAGCAATATTTCACCCCAGAGAGAACAAGCGATTTGAAGAGAATCATTATTGGTATGGCATCCCTAGTTTTGAAGGTTCTCATTATCTATCCTATCATTTTCCTAGCGGATGATGTAGAGACGTTGTTGTAACCACGAACTTTCTATAAAGTATGCTAATAATGTCAACTACGTTTGTATCAGTTGTACAATGCACTTTGTAGAAACAAAGATTATTATTACTATTATTATTATTTACACATACACACAGAGATGAAAGTTAAAGACATGCTACAGATGATGTTAGGAAATATTTCTTCAACCTCAGGATTGTGAAGAAGTATAATGACCCGTATGAAGTGGTGGAGGCAGAGTCCATACGCAGGTTTAAAAACAGGTATGATAGGGGCGATAAACCTACGTGGGAGTGAACCCATTTGCAGCTAGCTAAGAGGTAAGGCCAGGCGCTATCACTTGATATCCCTTCAAGGGAAGGGGGGCTCTTGATCCAATGAATTACAGCTTTCCTAATTTTCCTTGGGTCGAACCCGATAGCTTCTCATTCTCTAGCTACTATATATAAACCGATCCCCGCGGCTATAAATAGGTACGTACAAACAGGTACCAGAAAGCGCCTGTATTGAAAAAATATGTATTTAAGGTTAAACCTAATTTATAATTGTCTTGAATATTGTTCTATCACGAATAATAACGATGAAAGTAATGTCTTCGTAAATTACCTCATTCTTCCCTAATAAATTTCTAGAATGCTACGCTGTGATCCTTTAAATTTTACGGGGTGACCTAGCAAACCAATGGTCCGTGGCCAAATGACCAAAAAGCCCCACTGAGTGGACCCCTCCAGGAAGGTGCCTTGAGGTGCTCTTCATTCAAGGAATAGACCTTAACAGCCTCCCCTTCCTTGAATGGAACCTGAATGTCTCCCTGAATGTCAAAGGAAGACTGCCCACAAACCGAAAACAACACCCCGCTGCCTGCCGAACAACGTAACCCTAAACTTTGTATAACTACAACTTCTTCTTAACTACAACAATTCCTGTAGTATTATGAGGCGCAATCTAAGAGGAAACAGCACCAAGGCCAGCAAGAAAACACCGAAAAATCAACTATTCAACAAGTGTAGCCAGGAGGACGCCGGCCCAGCAACCACCCCACTCACCACCGCTCATGGCCCACACCACACAATAACAACAACATGGCTGCCACCAACCCATTCCCTCCCCTCCCCTTCCCGGATTCAACCTACTAAGTAGTCTCTCAGGTATGACCAACGATCCAGATACCCTAAAGACATGCATCTCCAACTTAGTTATTGAAAATATGAACCTTCGAGAGACGCTAACAAAACAAGACACCAGGATGACACAACTCGAGAACAAAATCCTCAGTCTTGAACAAAAGTTATCAACACCAGGAATGACTAACTGTGACAAGACCATCCAGACAGTCATAGATAGCCATACCCAACAAATAATATCTCTTAATACTAAGGTTGAAGAAGCAGTAAAAGAATGGAAGAACAACTTAGATAACCAGTTCAGTGTCTACTTTGCTCTCCAAGAAGATAAAACTGAACAAGATAAACTATCGGACGCAGTAATAGTTAACAGTCCACTTTTTCCCAGTGATATGAACCAAACAAACAGTAAAGAAATTACTCTGCAGATCATAAAGGACCAAACAAGTGTTATTGTACCAGTCAGAAATAAAAGAAGCCAGTTACTAGGATCCCATGGTAGAAAAAGTGTTATGCTTAGATTCCACTCACATGACAGGAAAAAAGACTTAATTATTGCATCTATTAAAGTAAAGAAAGAGGTATACATTAACGAGTGTCTTACCAAAAAACGTCAGAACCTCCTGTATAGAGTCAGAAAACTTAAGCGGGAGAATAATGACACAATACACCAATGCTTCACACGGGATGGGAAAATTCTAGTTAGGAAAACAAATGTAGGTCAACTGGACACAATCACGAACGAGAATGATCTATCACGATTTCTCAGTTAGTTAGTTTAATATGTTTATTATGCACCCCATACCCATCCTGTAGGCGGTAGTCAAAAGGTTACAGAGTACATAATTGGTCCAGGGACTGGACTCCAAAGTTTTGATAGCTGAACAAGTTACAGAGGTAACGAATTCACAATTTACAAAGGTAATGAACTCACAATTTACAAAGGTAATGAACTCCAGGTAGGTCTAGTCACAATCATGACAAGTTACAAAGGTATTTACAGATTACAGAGGTACGTAATGGGTCCAGGGACTGGGCCCCAAAGTTGTATGGCTGAACTAGGTAACAAGGTAATGAACTCACAAGTACAAGGTAATGATTCCTGGTAAGAATGGTTACTTTACGATTTTACCAATGGCAACAATCAGACAAATTAATGAAATGAGCAATTCACACTTCCACAACACCCGTCACAACAGTGTGAGTTTCTTTGGTGCAAATATTGATTGTTGATGACACACACAAACACAACACAACACACACATATACAAATTCACACACACACAAACGCATGATACACACACAGCACACACACATACACACACACACAAATAAACACACACACACATACACACACAACACATACACACACACACACATACAACCCACTAACACACATGCAACACACACACACACACACACACACACACACACACACTCAACAATATACAAATTCCACACACACACAACGCATAACACACACACACACACACATACACACACACACATATAAACACCCACACACATACCACACACACACAACACACACACACACACAAACACGACACACACACACACACCAACACACACACATCACACACACACAACACACACACCACACACACACACACATACACACCACACACACACACACACACAAGATAGCCACACACACACACACACACATCACACACACACACACCCACACACACCACACACACACCTACACACACACCACACACACAACCACACACACCACACACACACACCACACACAACACGCACACAATCCCACACGCACACACACACACACACACACACACACACACACACGCCACGAATCCACACACACATAGCGTTCCGATACCTCAGTAAGGATTCGTTTAGAGACTCTGTACACCATCACCGTCAGAGGCCCATATGGACTCATGCAGCACCAGATTTTGAATCCACCCCAGCAAGCACGTCAAGAAATTAGAGAAAAGTGCAAAGGTTTGGCAAGCAAGACTAGTCCCAGAGGCTACGGGGATTGGTCCTATGAAGAAAGGTTGAGGGAAAATCGCCTGACGACACTGGAGCCAGGAGGTCAGGTGAGACATAAAAAATACTGCGCGAATAGACGAGGTGGTACAAAGACGGAATGTTTCCAGCTATGGGAC